TGACTACTGTTGCTTATTTAGTGTCAAAGTTAATGGAGTCATACATACAATATTTGGTACTTAAGCAAAGGAACAATTCTATCTATTTTTATGTATCTGAATTAAGAATGTACTCACAGAGGAACACAAACACGGAATATTCCCATCCACTGGGTTTCTCAGGTGTTATGTGGAGAGCCAGACAAACTCCAGATCTGCCATAGAAATTCCTGTTACAGATACAAAGAGCATGATGTACAACACACGCAGACAGCATCCAGATGCGGCTGTACCTATCGTCTGTATTATGCACAGAGTTCTGGGATAAATTCTGACTGTCATCTTCTGTTACATGGCAAATTTACAAGAGTTCCGTGCCACTAATATTGAAAATGAAAATATCATCAGTGTAACAACAATCACCTGATGCAAGAGTAGAGCATATACTATTTGTACGTTAGATAATGAACAATATTCAATGTAATTGACATTTAATATAGAAACAGTAAATGAACTTACTGAAAATAGTCTATATGCAAGAGAGGTAGACCAGATAAAATAGCTGCTGCTAGCCAGCCCAGCGCCATCAGCAGTCTCGTCTTGGGCATCTCCAGACGACGCACTCGGAATGGGAAGATGATGACTAGAAAGCGGTCTAGTGTAATGACTGCCGCAATACAAAGAGAACGAGTACTTGTCAGAACATATCCATTAAGAACATACCTCAGTCTTCACAATTCGACAACCAAAAACAAACATCACACGATAACAACAAGCGATCCACATAATGAAAAAGGCAAACAGCAAGTATCAAATATTTTGCAAAAATCATTATTGACTGAAGCTAAACATTGTAAAATTACAGACATCTATCAAATTCTTGAACTCCAACTGTCACCGATTACGCCACACAGCCAATTCTTGTATTTTAAATTAATTCTGAAGTGACAAACGTTTTAGACATTCAACAAGACTCCTTGGATGAGTTGCCGGCCCTTATCAATGGCTAAACTTTCGTAAAGAAATATACATCTATACACCTAGCACAACATGAATCTAATAAATGACAAACATCTCATTACAGAATGAAACTATTCTCTGACTTTTGTGTGAACTACTCCAAGTGCTTAATAGTCCTTTTAGACACTGAATACACATCAGAACATTGAAGAAGGAGCAGAAAGAGAAGATGGAGGAAGACAAGAAGGGAAAGATAAAAACAAGCAGGAGAACAAAGAGAAAAATTAAAAAAAACAGGAAGGAAGAGAAGACAATAAGAAAATTAAAGAAAAAGTTATTGTTTTATGTCATCCACGTACCAGTACCATTCACAAATTACCAATTCATGAAATTGACCTCTGGGGCTGAAAGGGGACACTGATCATTATGCTTACTCACCTGTAAGTGTAAAAACAGACAGCTCACTGGAGAAAGTACTGATAAAACCTGCCAGGTTGCAGAGCTCACTGCTTCGCCAAGCCAAATCATGGATGAAGTACACACCACGGTATCGTGCATCCACCCCAGCAATTATAAGCAGGTATGATCCCATGAACATGTCTCCGATAGCCAGATTTGTGATCAGGAATGAATGTACCTACCAAGAAACAAATAGTCAAATCAGCACTTTTGCCATAACATGAAACAACAGGTAAATTTTTAGTCAATTCTAGAGATTTCACACAAGAAGATTCTGAATGTCTCATATAAGAACACTGGTATGCACCACACTGAATGGTTTTCGGCAAGTGGATTTTGATAACTGCCCAGTAAATATAAGTTATTTCTTTCACCTAAATTATTCTGTCACCTGATTGGTATGTTTGAAACGCATGCGCCAACCAATAACCAAGATATTGCCGAGTGTGGCCAACACACCCAAAACCCACACACAGATACGCAACACCAGGTTGGACATCAGATCTTCACAGGATGAGAACTCATCAGGAAGAGGAAGACACACTTCCACGTGTCTCGCCAGGCAGCAGAACCGGAATTCATCCGTTACCCTTAAAATGTAGAAAAATCAAATCTACTACACACATTATAAGAAGTCTTGCCTTTATCATAATGATAAAATGCTTTAATAATTTAATTGCATTCACATGATAAGATACTGAAATTAAGCATAACTTACAACTTATTGAGGGACGCTACACTCCGGAACACATTACTGCTTATCACTTTGATTGCATTGCTACTCAGATCCCTGATAGAAGAAACATTCAGATTAATATCTCAAACATGGGGCCTAAATCATTGTAAATGAAATATATGCACTCATTTCATTCTGAGAAAGCCAGGAAAAAGATACTGGGATACTGGGAACGACCCGTTCTTCAAGTGCCTGAGCACTGCGGGTCCCAAATTTTTGTTAGGAAAAAGAAGGCGCAAGAAAGTAATTAAACTTGGTAACACCTTAAAAATCACAGGTCTCATTATATCACACAGATCATAAAGACAGTTGCTGATATTTCAAATTTACAGCTATAAGTTACATATATTAAATTCATTTTGTGTGTGTTAGAAGTCCAGCTTCAGTATAATTACACATAATTCTATCTACCTTTAATTGATAAAAGTTATAACCAGTTATATGATTCCCTGTGGATAGAAAATAAACCTTTTTGAGACTGTTTAATATGGTATCACTCTCTCATTATAAAAATTTGTGTTGCTAAATATGTGGATCCTAAGATCGCTGTATTACGTGACTTCAAAGTGATTGGATAAATCTTCAGGGAATAATACAACGATAAGTATACTAGTATATATACTTACAAAGATAATAAATGTGGCATGCCGATGAATGTTCCATCAACCAGATATGAAATTTCATTGTGTGATAGGTCACTGAAAAGTGAATTATAAAAATATAAGTAGATTTATTACAATATGTATTGGAAACATTCACAGTTAATTTAGCTGCCAATCTATCTTGTACTCCTTGATTTTATAATCTTAATAATATCTGGTACAGAATACAAACCATATATTTATATACATATATAAACTTAAAACACATACACAAACATTAATGAAAATAAGGCAGTTATAACATAATATCCATTAGGCTTGTTAATTAATTACAATATTAATAAACTATTTCTTGTTAATTATTAAAATAACAAATAATTTTAGTGAATTACTGCTTCAGAAATAATATTCCATTACAATCACCAGTACTTATACACAAATAGTAACTTATGACATGCACGTTAACTTCATAACTTCTCTCTGTACACTTGGACGAGTAAATAATCTTTCCGAATCCGCAGTTTACTTACAGTCCGACGAGACTCCTGAGTCCAACAAAAGCTCCCTGAGAAATGTTGTTGATCCTCTGCCAGCTGAGGTCTCTGTAACATCAAACATGGCGAAGCGGCCGAATTGGAATGTATTACACAAGTCCACATGAATTAGTACAACATACTCTATACGAGATGCACTCACAGCAAAATTAGAGATGAAAGCCCATAGAATGCCATGGCTTCAAGCATTCGAATACCATTTCCTTGGAGGTGTCTGGAGACATGAATAAAATGGGTTATATACACAAAGCAGAGTAAGTAAGTAACTAAGTAACAAAGTCTTTCATGGAATAACTTGAAGGTTCAACAGCTTAAACTCAAAGCTTGCCAATGGTTATGATAACCAAGTCATTTCCATCTACTTCCCATCATCACAACTTGACTCCTAAGATCAACCCCTTTCCAGGCACAAATTAATTTGGGCAAAAATAAAACAAGATAAAAAAAAATAATATGATTATGAATGCAGACTCCTGAAATCTGTTATTCCCATACAAAAATTCCAGAAGAGATGTCAAAACATGTAAATATCAAATTTTTAACACTTTTTACATGATCATTATATTCCAGAAATTTTATAGAGTTGATTGTGCAAAGCTTCCAACAGTGGACAAGTATTTGTTTGTTTGTTTGTTAGTTTGCACGTGATACATACAGGTTACTGAGGTTGGTGAGTCCATAGAATGAGCTGTTGCTTAATATCTTGATACAGTTGTGTTGTAAATTTAGCGTAAGCAGACGCCACAAGTTGCGAAAAGCCAGTGGCGGAATACCCGAGATGCTATTGTTTCGTAGATCTCTGTAAACAAACAAATGGAAAACGGCACATCCTTCATTTCTATTCCATAGGGGCTGAGGGAATGAATGCGCACAAGTATAAGAAATATCTACTTTAGTAAGGACTTACAAACATGAAGAATTAAGAAAGCAAATCAACAACTCACAGATATAGAAGACGATCCAAATGCACAAAACTATCTTCGGAGAAAGTGGAATTTATCAGATTATCTGCCAGATGACTAAAAGAGAAAATAAAACCAAACCAATTAAATCTACAACACAACCACAAATAATCAGTTTACAACAAGTGTTAGGGAGTGACTCACTTAAAATTTCAAAATTAAAACTTTGTGAAGGGAAGGTCTTGGGGGGGGGGGGGGGCAACAACAACAACAACAACACATCTCATAGCATATTAACAGTTTCAATAACAGAATAATGCATAAAAACTACAGAATGTTGATTCTGAAGTTAGGACCATAGCTACATTAATAAGCAAGTTGAAAATTAGAATATAACAACTTACCAAAGTGTGCGTGTGTGTTCAAAATATTGGTCCTCAACTCATAAGCAAATCTTATAAACAGGTTTCTAAGACAACTTTGAAATTTATTTGGGTAACAGAAGCTGTTATGTGACAACTGTTACTTTTTTCATACAGCGTTGGAAGCGATAGGCTACGAGGGGTTAATTAATAGAAAAAGTAACTAGCATATGACACTATTATGAAGGAGCTTAATTTGTCTTAAACTTAAGCTGTACGCTCACTCTCCTCCTCTGAAATGTCTTACAAAGACACATCACAGTTCACAAGATGGCGTACTCACAACCAAGTGATTTCCTCTTCAATGTCAGGAGGAACACAATCCAGGCTGAGGTTTGTGCAGTTAATGTGTATATCATGACATTCACAGCGCGGCTCCACGTTTGAGCACGCAAACACTACAAAGAAACAGCTTTACAATAAGTGCTGCTGACTTTGCATTACACACAAATTCCTGGGAAATAAAATAGGCATAGCATATTTTGCAAAAGTAATATATAAATAAAATTATTTTTCTTCTCATTAACATTTTGAAATTCAGAGCATGTTAAATTTGTGTAAATAAGAATGCTACTTGTATATATCCGAGTCTGTTTACATCACTGGCTTGCTATCTGACAGAACGAAACCGTCAACTTACAGCATCCATCTTCATCCACCCAGGTTCCGGGGCAGTCAATATTTTCATCACACACCAGAGACTGATTGAGGCAAGGACCATTTCGGCACTTGAAAGTATCTGGTGGGCATGTCCAATTCTCTTAAAGATACAAAAAGGCTGTTTATTATTGGCTGACGGCTATTTAAACCCTGCCCTAAGAGTTATTATAAGAACTGAAGAACATATATAGGAAACACGAATTTCAAATAACAAGGGTCATGACCTCAGGTAAAGAAAGATGTTAAATTTGCTAAAAATGACCAACTCACTGCATCCGATGAGATGGGATCCATCTGCGCAACCATAGCGAGGATTACCAGAGTTGTAGCATCGAAGCGAAGCGTCAATACACTGGCTGTTGTTACACTGGAACTGATTTGGCCCACAGACTGGCAGCGTCAAATCTGAATTAGGGCAAACAGAATTTTAGGAACACGTAGGTTATGGAAACCAAAGCGGCATATTAAAATACTGAAATTTACGTTTAAAAATCAGAACCACGATGCTACTTCTTACAGTCACACTAATTTGATTGAGATTGAAATCAACCAGTACATATTTGTTCGCCTGAAGTCCTGCAAAAAAAAAGCCGCAGCATTCAGACCAGCTGTGAGGTCTACCCAACTTCCTATCCAATGGGTACTAGGGGTCTTATAGCGCATTAGTTACCAGCTTTAACTCCAGACACACTCAAAAATACGTTTGCACGTGTGTCTAGAATTTTGAGGAAGAACTGCTCTAAGTTACATTCTTCAAAACAGTTACTCCGGATTTCAGAGAAGATATTAACACTTTTGTAAAATGCACCTAGACTGGAATACAGAGACCCTCAAAGCAGCACATATCATTTCTGATCACTCACCGCAGTTGCTCTCATCCGAACCATCCGGACAGTCTACGATGAAATCGCACCAGAGGGACTCGGCCACGCACTGCCCACCATTAAAGCATTTTCTCTTACCCTCAAGGCATGGTTCATTATCTGTTGGGGGCAAGGTCTACTTTTTATAAGAATGATGACAATGGTAAAGGCAAAACATTAAGGCAATATGGAGAAACATATTTAAAAACAACAGACGTGTTTCAGATATGTCAGCAAAATTCTACCAGATTTCATGACACAACATCCCAGAACACAGACGTCTTGATACTCGCTACAGTGAAAGTCTTAAACCTCATAATTTATGTCTTATTCTTCGGTTCTGAACTCACCACAGTCCAATTCATCGCTCTTGTCCCAGCAGTCAAACTGCAAGTCACAGCGCTGGGTCAAGTTCACGCACTGGCCATTTCTGCATCTGTATTCTCCTTCTGTGCATACCCGAGGCTCTGCGAAAGAAGCTCAAGGAACATATTCTACAAACTGCAAACACTCCATAAATACGAGACAAGAGACAGGCTTTACCATCATTATCATTATCCTTAATTTTGTATCTCACTGAAGAGGTTACGCCTGTATAAAATTTTTATTGCCCAAATTTATTGACGTCTTTTGTAATCTTCCTCAACATATCTACCAGAATGGTACTTTCAAAGTGACGACTAACAAAAATATTTACTCATACACCATTCATAATAGCCTTTCCAACTCATATTTATAATATATGTGGTTATGGCCTAATTTAAGGTACGACCCCTTCACTTGCCAGGAGAGACTGAGGAAATCAAAGGAAAACCTCGAGCAGGGCATCTGGTCTGTAGACGAGAGAGTTGAACGTGGGGCCTCCCGAAACGAAGCAGGAGAGACAACGGGTGTAATTAATTCTTAAATTTCAGATTCGTTCGGAGTTGTCTGTCACTTACCACAGTTCTGCTCGTCACTTCCGTCCAGACAATCCCACTTGAAGTCGCAACGCAGAGCCCTCGGCAGTGAGCGGTTGTCGGCACAAACTATACTCTCTCCGATTACGTCCATCCCGTTCGCTGAGAGGTGGAAAAACATATTATAGAACGCGCGCCGTCAGGCGCTGCCAACAACCAGAATCACTATTACCACAACCACCACAACCATCACCATTATCGCCACTGTCAATACCATAACTGAAAGTGGTAATCAAATGGTCGGGGCTACTGCCTCATGTTAGGGAGGTCCCGAGTTCAGGTGCTTCGTGGTTTTCCTCAATCCCACCAGAGAAGTGTCGATATCACGACAAATCCCTCCTCTAGAATGAGGGAAATGAAAAATATAAACAAAATTGTGATCCGGAAACCTCAAGGACTAGTGCGCAGAGATGAGTAAAGTAGCTAATACTGAAAAGAACATTAAAATTATGACAGATAAACAAGCAAACATCGATTAAACACGAGTATTTACGAGCAGGGAAAGCAAACAGATTGTTACCATAGAATTTGCTACTAAATTTATGTGTACATCTCGCGTATGCATGAAATCCTGTGGCTAAGACCGGATTAGAAGCAAGGCCCACTGAGGAAACTCCACCCAAGTACGATCGCCCGGGAAGGGGGTTGTTTAACGATGTATTTTAAAAGTAAAATTCGTCTGAAACCTACATGTCCATTGCTACGGCTTTTACAAACAATTCTGTTTCAGTATGTGAACTCTGTGTTGAACACGAATTAGAAACACCTAAAGCAGGCACTTCATAGTACAGGGGTTTTCCCCCCTTGAAATGCTGATAGTTGCGTAGAAAATCAATAATCTCCTGATGTTTTTAATGCATCACATCTCATCTTTTGTTCCAGCGGAGTGACTTTCACGAAATTTTTGGGCTTGAAGATGGTAACGTATGGATGAAACACGCCGCTGTAATATACGGGCTAACGGTATAAAATATACTAATTTTAATGATTTGCATAAGCAATTGACGGAAAATTTACACTGTTGCAATAATTTAATCTAAAATGATCTAGATTCATTGCTGAAATAACGTGAAATCGCGAAGAACAGATAAAAAAGATGACGAAGGGAAAAAAAATCCTACAGGAACCTACGGAATGTTTGGTTTAGGGGGAAAACGTCCCTCGCTCGTAGAAGCTGCCGCAGGAGTTCACTGACGTAAATCACGCTGTCGCCTTCGAAAGTATAATGAAAGCACCGCTAATGCCCAGACTTTCCGACAAGTTCCGTCCTAAATTACATCAGCTCTGTTGTCCCTTCGTTCTTCCTTTAATGCAAATCACCTTTTAAACACGTGTTAGTGCAACGACGCACTTCTGCGCTGTACTAGAACCACAAACACGTGCGCTAACAGGAATATTTCTCGCCTAAAAGCAGGTTTTAGCTGTAGATGCCAAGTTTTAGAAGAGAAGCATCGATTCTACAGCGGAACGGGAAATCTGTTTCGTCTACATTACGATGTTATCGGAACTCCTTTCAACATTTTAACAATCAGTAAATATTTTTTTTATATATGGTTTTCGTATGATTCTCAGTGTAAACAGCGTTAACCAGTTGATCTAGGTAATGGTGAAGTGTCGTGTTTTCTTCGCGGTACGGACTGAGAGCTTAAATATTTAGACGAGCTTCGGCTTTAAAAGTACTCTTTCAACATTTCCAATTGAATGTAGATCTAGCAATTCTAGCGAATTCACTCGCTCGCCTATTACTTATAGATTTTCGATTTCTGAATGCTAAATTTCGATTCTCTCTCTCTCATAGCTTAAAATGCTTAAAAAGAGGGTGTCTAAGGCAATAATAGCTAAGAAAAAATTCTTCTCGTCCTTCATTTTGTGGAAGGTACGTAATATTTAAAATTGTTCAAGACAGGAAGAACTTAGCTGCATTCAATTTGTTTCAAATTATCAGTCATTTTTACAATGTACAGCACCAAGATGGAGTCATACATCAACTACAGTAAATCTGTCGATTGGCTCGCTCAATTTCAAAGCACTTAGCAGAGATTTTGAGAAATTGACATCACATGCGTTGGGCTTAAACTGGGAAAAAAAATGACATTGTGTCGGAGGCACTGAGTCACAAATATCGTTTACATCTGAAGCCTCTTGAAATGCCACTTCAACAGACAACAAATATTTTCCAAATCCTCTTTTTGCTGTTGTGCATTCCTCGTTTGCTTTGATGTTCATTTATTGGAAAGCCGTGTTGTTACAAAGCCAGCCACACTACAGACAGGAATTGATTTTAATTATATTTCGTTCAATATCCACAACAATATTTCAAATAAATGTTACGTACCTTAAAAGTTCTAAGTATTAAGTTGCGCGCATTTTTGAGAAAGTCGATAAAGCTCGATTTCAACTTTATATAAGGAGTTGTGTTAAATCGATACGAGCCAAAAATGAAATTCGTCAAACAAGATCTGGCTTACATTCTAGAATCCAAATTTAATCAAAATCCGTTCAGTAACTTTGGATATAGCGCGGACAGACGGCCGGACGCGACAATCTAAATGATATGCTTTCGCTTCAAGCATTTTCTGAAGAAATAACGTACAAAAATTAGAACCGACATCCAATTATTTAAAATCAACAGTCGAATTAAAAATGTAATGTAAAACAACGGAGAAACCGAACACTAAAACCTCGCGCACGTGCTCCTACTTTCTGTAGATGACCAAACGGTAAGAAGCAGGATGCTTAAAAGATTAAAATATTAAGCGACCGATTAAGTACGGGATTATATACAAAGTCCTACAAACAAGTTTCATGACAGGAGGGCACAGAAACTTACACATAGTTAGAAACTTCTAACAATCAAGAACTTTGTAATGAACGTCAAATTTATAGACGTATAGTATCAGTTACAAACAAAAATTATTGGTTGACAATCAAAGAGTCTCACCGAAACTAACCTCTATAAAGTATCTGTCACGTTGGCGAAGTCTGTCTTGATTTTACTCGGGCCGGGAAATCAGTTTGAAAAAGCACACGACTTCAATCTTCAATTCACTGTAGATAAACATATTTACTAGACTCATATTAAAATCTTGATCATAAAAACTGCTACCCTAAATTATGTTTTCCAGCATTTCGTCTGTATGGCCATTTACCTTCTGTAGTCTATATTAGCAATGCTCGATTATTCCGCATTCTTTATCGATTCACAAACCATTAACACATTTCTGGTCTGATGGTACATAACCTGAGCAGACGAGTCGGCGCTGTCAAAGAAACAACTCTCTCATATACGATTCGACCTTACGACATCTGAAGTCCTAATACAACACGACTGCTTTGTTAACCTATTACGAAATGTTCGGTTATCTCACGATTTTCAGCGACAGAAAACAAAACTTCCATAAACCAATCTCGTAACTGACTTCAAATTATCGATTAATAAAACCGGAAATTCACTTTCCTATCGATAATCTACAGGCGAATAGACTGCCCTCTATAAAAGCTACATTTCAACTCATTATCGATTAATGTAACGGGAATTTCGACTTATATCGATAATCTAAGTTTCGCAAAGGTACAAAGAAACATCCAAACTTTAAAAGGGTACAAAATGAACTGTGACAGGCGGGGGGGGGGGTTACAAATATAAATAATTATTTTCAACACGTTCAGGGAATGGAAGACCAGAAACATTCAAAACATATTTTAAAATCAAAAAGAATACGACATATGAGGCCATCTTGAAGACAACTGGGCTACGTGTACACTGGGACCTAAAAGGACCAACTTAATGGTACAATTTCGTGACTGGATACGATGATACAATTCCGACGCACTGCGTGAAATCATTACGAACTTCAACTTAAGCCCAGTGCTGCCATCTGGCCGGAAGTTTTCCAACTAGCATTATTTGTTACTTTACAAATTTAGACGATCTTCTTTTGAAACAGGGGCCCTACGGCTGATTGCATTAATAAAATTGTACATTTAGGGCCCCTAAAATAATTCGGCGGTACAGTTTTATCACCATAATTTATTCTGCTAATTGAAAACTTCCATATTCTGTAAAGTGCAAATACAAAGTTTGTTAAAAAATCTATCAATAACAGTCGTAAAATGCTGTATGACGTCTGTAGACATCGTAAGGGCATGTGACGGACAGGAAACAAAAATTGAAGAAATTTTGCGTAGATATAAATGAGATATGCAAATTTTCTGTATTTTTCAGCGCTAAACAAACAAAATGAGAGACGTCTGCATACAAATGGAAAATCTATATTAAATCAATTACAGAAGAGCGTGATTTGAAAGACAGGAACACGAGAGGAGACAGCTGGAGAAAACGAAGACAAAGTACATTAATGAAGGGATGTGGAAACAAAGGAAAGAGGACAAGAATTAGCGGTAATAATGAAATAAGGTGGTAATTTGTCAAATTCACACATACTCCACACACACACCTGGTACATCATTCAGAAGTTACTACACACTCAAGGACTCGCAAACATAAATAACTCTGCAATTACTTACGACAGCCAAATTCATCCGACAGGTAATTTCCATTCTGACAGTCATTTGTCTGGTCACAGATGAATTCTGGGTGTATGCAACGGTCCTTATCTCTGTTCTGGTTTGGTTCAATGCAGTTCAGAGTCAGAGATGGATTACACAGATGGATACCTGTGATTACAGCAAGAAACAACGCTCACTGTAATGCCACGTCGTCATCACCACAAACGGCATTTTAACAGTAAGCATGAAATAGAGGAGATGCACTGAAGGCCATTGGACCCTGTCCTTGGCCAAATGAACGAAGATTCACTTTAATATTATCATTTCATCTGCGCTCAGGATTTACAGATCTTAAAATATTCAGAATCTTATTATTATTATTATTTTACGTAGGCGTGAAGCATTATGGGAATTTATAATTTTAACTCTTCACTTAATATTATTAGCCTCTGGTTTTCTGGTTTATAAAATGAAGAAGATTGAGATGGATACGAAACAGGGCGCATGTGGGGAAAACGAGAAACGAAAATTCCCGGTTGGCAAACCGCTTATAAGACAGCAGCAAATGATAAAGGCGTTGATTGGAACAAACTGGCTCAAGGTTGGGTACAACGGCGACTTTCTGTTCTTTTAAAAGTGGGGAAATTATCGATTGGTTGAGTAGCCATCGCCTTATGTAGGCATTTCTGGATACCAACAACATACTGTATTGTACAGGGTGTTCCTTATTCTCACCGTAGATGTTGGTGTAATAGGTGTCGCAGTCGGTCTCGTCGGCGCACGGCTGGTGCAACGCGCTTTCCAACGGGTTGGGAACACAGTCACACTGGGAGTCGCACACGTTAGCTCGGCGGATACAACGCCCGTTCGGGCAGAGGAACTCGTCGACACCAGTGCAGTTCTGACCTAAGGCACGTAAAATAGAGCGAATGAGAGAAAGAGAGAGGAGGCACTAATGCCTGTTCCGGCTTCAAATTGATCTTCCCATCTCCTTCTTGGTCGACCTCGATCTCATTTCCAGCTAGGTTTGTAGCTGAGCGCAGCCTTAGGATGTCTGTCTTCAGACATTCGTTCCAATATGTATTAATAATGGTAGACCTACTAAAATGGTACATGGCATCATAAGAGATTTAATCACCACTACGTGAATCATCAGTCCACTTTTTAGACTTATAACCTATATTTAATTATACGTGTAATAGTTATTGCAGAAATCGGTTGATTTCTAGACATTTTGTATTCTTAAGGTACCGGAGCCAAAGTTACAGAGCATTATTCCCACACATTTTGGCTCAACGCGTCGTTGAATCTCCCTAAGCGTTAGGCCACCGGCGGCTCACACGGTATAGAAATTGTTCTTAAGATTTTATATCGAGGTTCGACTCCACGACTCCGACTAAACGGTCCTGTTTCTAACCATAAGACGATGTTTCTCCCCTCTCCAGGAATTATCTCTTACTTCTCCTCTACCAATTCGAAGGGTTTAGTTTCTGTGCCATGAGGAAAACAACGATTTCCGTACGGAGGCGCCATCCCGTCACAAGTGACCTTGAACGAAAGCCGTTGTCGACCGACGACAAAACACGACCGCAGCCGAGGTCTAATCCTAATCCACGTATCCACACGCAGACACCAGGAAGTAATATTCAAGACGAGGCGCGCCTTTTACTGGAGCGCGGAATAATCGGAAAACATTCAACTTTTCAGACGCATTTTGACGTCACGAGCGAAAGAGCGTACAACCCGCAAGTTCCATCAGGCGTCGGTTTTTCTCGACGAGATTTTGCACGGCTCATTGCGCCAGACGCTCATTTCCTGTACACTCATTTATTATTCCAAGCCTAACAATCTTCACCGGTATCATAATACTACAGGGTGTCCCAAAAAATGTGTACACATTCAAGAGTCCATTGTGGTGGTATCAACAAAACGGGTCACGCCACATTACCATCGTGATGTCAGGGCCGGTCTTGACAACACCACCACGCCAGGGGCTACTTGAAGGACGCGGCGTACAACCCAGACCAAGCAACACTTCAAGGTCTCACCAACTACTGACGTGTGTGATGGTTAAGTTTATTAAAACGTCATTGTTTAATTTATTGAATGAATGTATATTTTTCTGGAACACCCTGTATATGGACCTCGGCCCCCACGGTATCCATTGGATAGGAGGCTGGGTGGGACCCATAGCCGTTTTGGTCGTTGCTGGGAACAGTTAACTCCTGTCCTGTCGCGAAAATCTCGGCTTATAAATGACGTGGTGATGATTTTAAACGGTAATTTACAATACTGCCTGCTCGCGTTTGGTAATTAAATTCTGCGAAACGTGCAACAGAACGTCAGACTATCGTTTGTGCTCAGAAAAAGATAAACTGAGAATACAATTCAGGAAATAAGTCGGAACAGAACCGACCACTAGCGCGGCGCTGTAAATTGAATAAGTACGAGGCGCGTCCCAAAAGTAAGTTTCCCACTCGTCCCACAGCTAGCAAACCTTATATTCAGCGAAGCGACTGTGCGTACGTGATAGAGCAATGACGTAGCATGGCGCATGCACTAACGGCACTTCCCGCGTTCTCACAGTAGCATCGTTGCAGCTGTTGAAGATGGAGGTTCTTATTCCAGCTCCCGCCGACTGTGAAGTGCGGTCAGTGATAACGCTAGGCCGCACACGGCTCGACAGACAGCAAGTCTCCTGCAGGAGTTCAGCTGGGAGGTGTTTAATCATCCACCCTACAGCCCGGACCTCGCTCCCAGTGATTTCCATCTTTTCCTACACCTCAAGAAATTCCTGTCCGGTCAGCGTCAGCGTCAGCGTTTTGAGAATGACAGAGAGGCGGAGATGGCTGTCACACAGTGGTTCCAATCCCAGGCGGCAGACTTCTACGACACAGGTATTAAAAGTTGGTCCCACGGTATGACAAATGTCTCAATTCCGGTGGCGAATATGTTGAAAAATAGCTGGACACTTGCTGTATCTGTTGCAATAAATATTTCCATGAAATTGTGCTTTGTTTCTGTAAACGGCCCCAGGGAAACTTACTTGGGGGACGAGCCTCGTATGTTGTGTGGTTCAGTCAGGTTCACAACTCGCTTATCTGAAATATCATCATCCCATCTCAGTCCTTCAGGTGGTATCTTCCCCATGAGAGTTCCAACGTGTGTACTCGCTGTGTGGGATCTCCCAGTCAAGCACCAACGCCACCGAAAGGTGGATTTAAAATCGATACAATGACAACAAAGTATAAATTACACTGCAAACTTTTACGTAGTATTTCTTGAGCTAAATAACATCGTTCATTTTGTTTTATAAATCAGTAAATCGAAGGACTCACACTGCTCTAATTCTTCAAGAACGACTCATTACTACGATTTAGTTTTAACATTGCCCAATGGTGTGCGAGGTAAGAAGTCAAACATAAATGTCCATACCAACTAAAACTAGGTCCACTCCAAATTCCCTTCGTACGATGTTATCCGTTTCACTTCGTCTGCCCTAACCGCCATTATTCATTAAGTCAAATATTCGCTTTGATATCTTACAATCTAATTATCATCGAGGGACTATTTTAACGTGGCATTAAATTCCTAAATGCATGGAGATAACGAAGCTGTCGCAAAACATTTCTCAAGTAGTGTCAGTACGAATCTAGAACCCTACTAGCAATGTTAATCATTAAGGAACATATTTTGACTGTCAACACCGTGTCGAAATAATGATCACGTTCTCGAGGCGGTGAGTATGAAGAAGACTGTCCTCTGAGTTGTAGCGCCGTGTAATCTGTTAGAAGTTTGCCCACGTTTCAAAAGTGCTTGCTGCCTCCATCATCAGGGCGATAATCGTAAATACAGTCTTCGTCTTTCGTGCGTTATCAGCAAGATAAGCACAAAACAGGCTAATTTCGTACAATCGAAAACATCAACATAACTGAAGCACAAATCTGTGAAGTGGGAGCACCACATAATTTAATAACATGAAATGACAATATGCTTTTTTTAATGCAACTTTAAGGAGAACGTGCAACAATATGACAGCTACATAAAATATGCATTTCAGCTTCCGCTTTAATGTCGATAACTAATTAACCATTGGAGCAAGGCACATGGATTTTGGATGTCAACAGATCGTAAACATACCTACAGAATTCTGTATGAAGTATTACCCATAAATCAGCAATTAAAACACAGTGACGGTACGTATCCGATCATGTTCCACAAAATCGGTAATTAGGTAAAAACTTGTTCCTTCCTATCACCTGCCACATAAAAAAGGTACTTAATAAAAGATTCAGGATATGATCAGTGGCTTCCTCTCGTAAGCACGGTAATAAAACTCAACGTTCCATAATGGGCGAGGAATTTCTTGCCTACTTGAGAATATTATAAGCTCCTCAAAGAGGACTTTGTTCCATGCACTTGGCTAATTTGTCAGATTAACAAATTAATTAATTTTAGACATTCCTCCCAAGAAGGAAACAAACCATTCTAATAATAATCTGCAACTTATTTGAAGGTGCGATAAAATATTTGCCTTGGCTGGAATTCGATCGTACATATAGTGCAGCAAACAGCCCATCCGCGTAAATACATTTGATTACTGACCTTAATGAAACCTAATAGGACTGTTCAAAACACAGACTGTGAAGTATTGAGTAACATGTGTTTGTCTAAGATAACAAATGTTTCGTTTTATGAACACTTTTCTCCAAAAACAATAGAACTAAATACAAATTGTCGACAAATAATGTAGGGACTATGTGCTGGATGTTGATGTACATACTCTACCTACTTTATCCTCTGAAAAATCAGTTTCTGATAAAAAAAATGAAACAGCAGAGCACAAACATCAAAATTAATATCCTTCTTGTTCTAATAACGCATGTGAAAACTATTTTCCGACTCCGATTATAACTTTTACAGTTGTTATTAACAATGTTTAAAAACTCTTACGCCTATATTAGTAATATTTTGATCTTTCACTATAAATTCGACATTGCGTCTGAGTTCTTTGTGCGCTGTTGGCAAACGAAACCCTCTTCGTCAAGGCTCGTCACTATACGAAATTCTGAACAGCCCACACAGTGAAGACGAAGGCCAAAGCCATTACATTCAATTCGCGAGCTCAGTACATACAGGGTGTCCCCTCTAAATGACGAACTGCTTGACACAGTTCAAGAAAATAACTAACAACTCTGTTAAAATTCAACGGAAAATATATTTCATGCAAATTTTAATGTATACTTTAAATTCTCTTCAAATTAAATGAATTAACTTAAAATTAAATTAATTTAATTAAAGCATCAAATGCTTTACCACACAGATATTATTCAAAATAAAAAAAATCCCCAACGGTGTGTCTCCAAAAATGTCAAAATTTTCAAACATATTATGCTTTAATCTTTAAAAAGTTAATGTTAAGATAAATTAGTCTCAAAAGAGGGCAAATCCCTGCTTAACGTCTATTGCTTAGAATTTTCTTCGTATCACAGCAAACATTCAAGTAAGCATGCAGAAGCTGTCTTGTCACTCACAGTTCAGTTCGTCAGCATGATTGTCGGGGCAGTCAGGCCAACCATCACACCAATAGTAGCGGTGGACCTTCGACCCATCACCGCACACCACAAACATCTCTGTGGAACACGCCAACACACAATACAGCACTTCAATTTGAGATATTTGAAAATAAAATAAAATAAATTATTTTGTTTTCACATCTCCATTAGTTTCCGAGATATAATTTTTTTTATCTTGGATACTTTTCATCCGGACACTCTGTATTTACCACAAAAAGTTACAAATATCCACTAACAAATTCATACGACGACACTAACGGAAATCCTCACTGACACACAAAGCTGAAAACTAGAGAGAAGATCACATCTCGAGACGTTTTGCAGCTGTTATGGCATTGTGTAGTCTGGTAGATCTCCACCAACGTTTTCAGAGGTCATACTGCCTCCATCATCAGGGCGATGAATGACCCAGAAGACAGCAATCTTCAGACTCAACGCTGTGAAAACCTCAAATCCTACACGTGTGCTGATTTTGATCACAAAGACCAAGTTACTGAGGAAAACGTGGGAAATTAAAAATTCTTACAGCATAACTTTTCAGAAAAACTACCTGGGCCACAGTCAGTTTCATCCGACCCGTCCTTGCAGTCCTGGGTTCCATCACACACAAAGCCAGGTCTGATACATTCCCCATTATGGCATTTGAACTCCGCATTCCAACATTTCCTGTGAGCTAAAACATAAATACGTTTACATTACATCAACTTAATGCCACGTTAAGCACCAGAATTAGGTTTCAAAATAAGACTACAGTTACACGACGTTCTATTATCATCTGATTTGTTTTTCAGTGTCTACAAATAAATGTTTGGGAACACGTGAAACACCCTATAACCACCCCAGACTCAAAATTCTATACTTTTATAGAACACGAAGGAAAATTACGGTGTTCAGAGCAGTTAAAATCCGTATGGTACAATGAGATGGACTGTACAAGTAGCACGCGTGAAAAACCGGGTATACATAATTCGAAAAACACAAGGAAAAATATCATTCGAGAAACGTAGCTCAGATGGGGAAATAATACTGAAATGGATTATAATAAACGGAATTTTTATTGTGCAGAGTTCTGCTTGAAAAGCTTATAGTCCCGTAGCCGTCCATTATAGTGTTCACGACAGACCGCAACTGGACCCAATCCCAAGCGAGCTGAGTTCACACTCTTACATACTACTTCTTTAAAACAAATTTTAATATTATTATTCCATCTACAATTTGGTCTTCCAAGTGGGCTACCTTTTGAAATTTGCCATCTCAAATCTTGTTTGAATTTTCATCCCATCTCATCGCAATTAACTGAATCCACTTGAATTACAACATGTGAAGAATACAAATTATAAAGTTACTCATTATGAAATTTTCTCCAGTCTCTTGCCAATTTCCTTTCCGTAGACCGTCTTGTATCGGGAGGCGCATAGCACAAAGCAGATCCACGGACGAGTCAAGAAATTCCTCCCGCGTTAGAACAAGATCCAAGCAGAAATGCAATTACAAGGCAGACAATCTCACTCCCACCTCGAACGATAAGAAAATTTTAAGCCCTCTCTCTCTCTGGAGGCATCCTGTCTCCTACTGTAAAGAACTCCTCACGACCTGCTTCTACGTACATTTTATATGCGTATTCATAAAGGTCGCATCACCGACTAATTTAATTGTTTAGGAGAAGCACACGAAATAAAATTAAGTAAATAAAGGTCGGAACGCCCTCATACTTTGTACTTTTCACAGAATACTATTAGGGCAATTAAGTCCAGGTGCACGGAACACGCGACACACTAAAACGCTCGAAAGACGTGTAAAACACATAGATGACACTAGTGAGGAAATACAAAGGAAAGGGACCACTTGGGAGACCTAGACGTAGATAACATAATTATATTTTAACAGGATCGTAAAGAAATAGTGTGGACTGGATTCAGCTGGCTCAGGATATGATCCAGTGGCGGGCTCGGTATTGAGGCTTTCAAGGCCTCGAGGATGAAGGTCATGGGATCATGGCCTGGGCTTTGGCGCAGTGCAGACTCGCCAGTAGATGACATGCCTCCATCTTCTGGACTAAAGATGGAGACAGTACGTTTCTCCAGAACGTTGTCATGTACACGGCGCCAAAACCCAGAAGAACGTCATCAAATGAACACAAGTCTGGACACTTACAGCCCATATTTTTGAAATTCGTTTCAATATTATCAACCCGTTGAAACAAATGACTGCATAGTTGTGACGCGATAACGTCTTCTTTTTTTTTAAGGGGGGGTTCTTACGGTTTTTGAAGGTTGTAACAGCCGAAGAATATTTTCGATTGCCACTCAAGCACTTCGTGGTGTCGCGGTTGGTCGAAACTGAAGCCTGACCACCAAACCACGGCCGTCAAAGCGTCCAGCGATTATTTAAAATTCGAGAGGGTCGTTTCGACCCCACAACTGTCGATAAAACTGCCTCGTCACTCGGCCTTTCCTATCCTCACCCAAAACAACATGACACATGCCATCCACCAAATGTCGTGGCCGAACAGCTAACACTCGTGTTTCGCATTCGGGAGGCCTGGGGTTCGAATTTGTGCCCGGAGACTCACTGTCCTGACAGAATTTGTTACTGGTTTACCTCAGTCCCTCCAGACAAATGCCGGGACAGTGCCTCAAATTAGGTCACGACCTTTTAATTCCACATACTTTTTCAATTCAATATTCATTAATCATTCCATTGTTTGACAATTACACTATGAACTACTGAGAACGTCCTTAAATAACTCATAAATTAAATACTAGTGTGGTCTTAACAGAATGCACCATAATATACGCAAAATGACGAAGGGTCGATTGAGTTCAGAGAAACAAACAATTAATTGAATTATCGTATACATCCTTTTGGGACACTCTATACATACAACTTTCGGTTTCATGGCGAACACAAACGGGTTATCGAAGTCTGCCTTGTGTGAAGACAGATTTCACACCGAAAACAAACGTATAATCATGCACTGCATGTACCGAAACTTTATAAACTGGTCCAAATTTCTCACGGGCCGATTACGTCACGTGGTTTAATAATTAGTTGTCGCTCACAGCATTTGTTCTCATCCGAGCCGTCGCCACAGTCGTCAACGAAGTTACAAACGTTGTCGCCTGGAATGCAGAAGTGGCTGTTGCATTTGAAGTGTGTCACCGGGCAGACGTAAGTTTCTGTAACAAGCGGAGACAGAAATTAAACACGAACACTGAGGAGACGAAGAGATGGCCTACTCTAACAACGTCCAGATAGATCAGTGCCAGCGCACGGAAGTCTGTCTGAGCAGAGAATTGACTCGACCTTTAAAATCAAGTACCCATCGGCGCATGAGCAGAGTCATTCTAACACGCGGTAAAAACATCGGCCGACTTTCAGCTTTCATCAGTTTATTTAGCTTTATACAGTATTTCGTCTCGTTCTTGTTTTCTCAGTGTTTTATCGTTAGAATTCATTATATTAGTAGGATCACTGATAAAAACCCACATTATTAAATATCACTGCAGACTGCACCAACAATACAAACATTTTTACTAAGGGGCGATGTTTTTAGGATAGCGTTCAGCATGACGTCACGGCTTCAAGGTCGAATAAATTCTCTGCTCAGATAGACAGTACGTATATAATAAATCAACAACAGAGCTACAACAGCCCGGGAAATCGCTCCATAAAACGTCGGTAGCTGAGCAAGTGGGCGACCACCAAATTCTCTAAACGAAATCAACTTAACTGAATTGTTTAACTTTAAACACTGACGCACACAATTCACTTTTGCTGTCAGAATTCACACGTTGAAACACGTAGGTGGATATAGTGTACGGACATAATAATAGAGCTTTCAATTTAACGCGTACAGATGCTAACAGAATTAATTCAAGACCTCAGACTCTGATGGGAAATTCCATTTACACATTAAAGAGAAGAACATTTAATACAAGTTGCTCAATCCAAAACACGTTGTTACTAATTCATACTTTGGATAGTTGGTTTACTTAAATTAATGCAAGTCTATAGATTCCTAACACAACATTAACATGAATCCTCATCACTTAAAATTAAAGTAATAGCAAATTTTTCAGGGCAATACATATCCCGATGAATTACGGAATAAATTACTTAAAACTTAATCCCTGTCATTTATAAAACTATCATAAACAAAAGACGTTTCGGTGCAAAAGAATCACGCATAACATTTATCTAAAAGGAGAAGGACATGGTGGCCAGGACAAATTCTGTGAGGATGGGGCTGTCTTGTACATGTTTCGCCGTACTTACTGACTCCATCTTCAGGGCGATGATGGGTAAGGTAAGCCCATTCTCTGTGGAACTGCGGACGTTAATGGACTCATTGTCCATCCCTAATATATTATGGAAAAGCGACGCAAGTCTATGTCTGAAGTTCAGGTTATACAAATACGAGGGTCCCTACTAATAAATACTCAATTTATTACGCACAGAAAATCCTGTTTATTTATGTTTAATGAATATTCTCGTTCCACACTGAGCTCTGTATTGCGTAAATGTATTCAGTCCACACAAAATTCTTCTGCAGGCTCACACATTCTAAACCTCTGTTTGCCCAAAGTGGCAATTTTTAATGTTTGTCTATTTTATGTAATTGAAAACGTGATTAAACAATTTCGAGGCCGCGTAGGGTGTTCGCATTCAGTGTGTGTGTTTGCGTGACAGGTTTCATCCTGTAAAATGCGCATGTAAAATTTACCTCCCCAATGATTGATGCTGTCATGCAAACATAACCTCAATGTCTATACATGTCCTCGCTGAGTAACAACATGTATAGGCTAGTCATTGCCGCTTTTTCACTCCAGAGACTGAGCTTTAACAAGCTGGGAATTAATCGAACCCCGTATTACCTGTCTCTCTGTTTCACAAACGTCGGCCCGCAAACCGCTACGACTTGCAAATTCTAGAATACGTAAAGATAAAGTTGTCCTTAATGCTCAGCGTATGGAAGAACTCATTTTTTCCATAGCCATGGCCAAGGCAGCTTTCGTCAAGAAGAGGATACTTCTCACTAGCAAGTTGGGCTTGGAGATGAAGAAGAAACTAGTGAAGTGTTACGTATGGAGTGTCGCGCTGTATGGAGCAGAGACTTGGACACTCAGGAAGAAGGAACAGAAATACCTGGAGAGTTTTGAAATGTGGTGTTGGAGAAGAATAGAGAAGATCAGGTGGACGGATCGAGGGACCAACGAAGAAGTATTGAGGAGAGTCAAAGAGCAAAGAATCATTCTGCAGGCGATTACACGAAGGAAAGCTAACTGGCTGGGACATATTATGAGAAGGAAGGGGTTACTGAGTGACATCATCGAAGGCCAGGTTGAAGGAAAGAGAGGACGAGGAAGAAGATTGATACAGCTAACCGACGACCTTAAACAAGGAAAGAAGATGACGTCCCAGGAATTAAAGCGAGAAGCCGAGAATAGGGACAACTGGAGAGCTCTTTTTGGGCAGAGCAATGGACCTGTCGTAAGACAGAACACTTAATAATAATAATAACATTAGATGGAGATGAGTGCATAGCTTCATGCTCCGACTGCTTTAACCCCCCTCTCAGAGGGAAGAAACACGGTACCCGTTGGACTCTGACGGTCCCGGCGATGATGATGATAACGAGATTTGAGACGAGGTTTAATCACATTTACTGTCAGACTGCAACAGCTCACGTCAATTCAGAGAATTTCATGTTTACACCGTCTGTGAGAACACTCAGTGGCCAGACTTAAGAGTATCTGCTTTTAGGTAATTACAGTGGCGTATCTTAACCCAATGACATATTCTGACGAGTACGGGAAGCCCGTACATTCCTACTTTAATGAATGTGAAATTCCACCTGATAACAGTGAAAAAAAGTTTACTTACTGAACAACACGACAGAACGAACTTTAAGGTGCCTTAAAAGCTCGAAATTTTTTTCAACCAGCTGAGTAATTATTATCAACTGCCCAGAAAGTGAATAAAAAAGCAGGTAACTGGGGGGGGGGGTCTCTTTCTTAAACAAAATACACAAAGGAAAATAATGGATGTGTCTGCGGAGTGCGATATATGTGATGTATGATGCTTATTAGCGTTGTGAACAACTCAGCGGAGTCAGGCTAGGTTCGCAGACATCAGACTACAACAAATGACCACGAAGACCGATTACTGGACACACGACCCCAACCTTCTTAATTACGAACAAGGTAATTAGTCATTCGCTGCCTGCGTCTGCGGATTTGTTTCCATCTTGCGCTTAGCATTCGGACGTACAACGTGTGGTGCGGGTTGATTTAGTGACTTGCACGGCGCTCCAAGTGCGACCGCCAATGTCCAGAACAACGAAACTAGATAAGGTCAAATGGAGCACTGGATCCAGTTGCTAATAACGATGCACTGGTTCATTAAAATTCATGGCGAAGATGAATGTCTTCTGGTTCCTACGCCGTCTTTTCTGGTAGAAGCTTACCGACGTATAAAGTTATGCTTTCGCGGCGACTAAAGTCGATGAAAGACTCCGGGCTACAAGCCGCGTCAGGTGGCTAAACGGTGAATAAATCACGTCTTCTGCCAACGTCACTTCCTGCCGTCCATCTCCAGTTCCCATCGGCGGGCGCGCTACAGAGGACCAGTTTATTACGAAGCTGCCCTGAAGATGAGAACAGAGATGGCTGTCGAAACGTCGGCAGAGGATCTGATTAATTCACCATTGAGACACCTGACGAGGCTTGTAGCCAGAGAGTCTTTCATCAAGCTTACCGACGTTTCCGAGGCGCTTGCTGTCGCCGCCATCAGGGCAAGCACCTCTAAAACGTCGGTAAACTTGTACCAGAGTTCCGACGTGAGAATCTGAAATCTCAGTAAAATGAAAGAGACGAAGAAAACCTCACTCTTACAATATAAGACAGATCAATTCAAGCAACCATCAGGAAACGACGTAAATTTGTTTCCTTGTGAAATATGGTACGTTCATGAAGACGAGAGATCAAACGCTCTAGACGATATTGGTTTCAATTTATTGCCACAAGAACGTTCCTCCGCGAGTGCTCAGTTTCTCTTGAGACAGCTTAAATATTCACCAAATTACACACTTCTCTCTTTGCTTGTTACCGCTCACTGACGTTCATTCTCTAAATATGAAGAGTCTAAGACAGAGAAATGAGGTTACACGGAATCTCAAAATAGCTCACATCTTTCAACTTTACGTCATGTTCAATACCTTATGTCATACTAACAAAAAAGATACACGAGTTATTTAAGTTAAGAAAAACACCCAAGGCTTGTAACACGAGTTTGCGATGCCATGATAAGACTTGTGCCTTTTTCTTAGCACCGAACAAGAGTATAAAGACGCTGTTCAATTTCGAGCAGACCTACGCATTTTCCAGACACGTTTTCTGTGATATTATGTACTTCAATGGTCTTGACGCTTATTTAACACCTACGTAAACTAACATTTCTTCGCCAAGTTATTTCTTAAAACTGCACTTAATTAATCATTAGCTCTCACATATTAAGTAACCAACTTGTCACTGTTTCTGACAACGCGTATTATTAGATTTTCTACGTGCATCACAAAAACACGATCATTAATAGGACACTTTATTATCTGACAAATGAAACACTACACACTTTTTTTTAGTGTTCTGTGTGACGACAGGTCCATATGAACAGGATCCTTCCATCCTTTTCTCGGACTGGGACCTGTTCATATACGTTCTTGGCAGATGATCCAGAAGTGGTTTGCCATTGCCTTCTTCTGTGTGTGAATGGGATGCCACGGAGAAACCGGGGAAGCCCCCGGAGGAAAACTCCGTGTTGCCTAGACCACGGCCTTGCCCAACACAAGTTATAAATTCGGGCACCGCCGGGAATCGAACCCGAGACCCCCAGGATTACAAGGCCAGCGTTCTAACCGCTACACCACCGTGGCGGTACTACACACTACAAGAAAAGGCAGTTGACTATTGATATCCAACATTAAACTCAGGTTCTAAGACTAAAGAGACATGACATCACAAACTCCTCGTTTTTTTTAAAGCAGTGGCGTTGCGTGGTCTAGTACTATTAAGAAAAAGTAGACTGCTTTGTGCATTAAACAAAATATGGCTGTGTTACAACAATACCAGTATATAAAACATCTTCGTATTTTTACGAAGCTATCTCATTACAGAAGTGA